GGGGGGGCATGCAGGATGCCACAGTATACACGTGGAAACCAGAGGAGAACTTGTGAGCTGCCATGTAAGTGCTGGGAATTGAGCCTGGGTCCTCTGGAAGACCAGCCAGTGTTGTGTTATTATTTTGATTTGTTTTGTCCTTAACTGCTGAGCCATCTCTCCAGGCCACAGAAGCTATCTCTCCAGGCCACAGAAGACAACTTGTCGGACTTGGTTTTCTCCTCCCACTGTGTGGGTTCCAGGGATCAAACTCGGGTTGTCAGGCTTGACGGCAACTGCCTTTACCCACCGAACCGTCTCACTAGCTCAAAAGGTTCCTTTAAATAAATGTTTTCATAGGACATTTGAATAAAATGAGTGCGTCGGCTAAATTTTCAGGAGCAGCATTGAATTTGATCATGAGTCTCTCAGCTTCGGCCTGTTCCTCTCTGAAGCCGGTGATGGCTACTTACTTCCTGGTTGTCTCCTTGGTCCCTGCCTTTCCCTGTCCCCTTCCTCCTCCTTAAATCAGGCATCCAGCAAATGCTGTTACTGCCACTCTTCTTCCTGTAGCCCTGGCTGCTCTATAACTAGCTCTTGTAGACCAGGCTGGCCTCAGATTCACAGAGATCCCCCTGCCTCTGCCTCCCGAGTGCTAGGATTAAAGGTGTGAGGTTCCATGCCTGGTTACTGTCTCTTTTGTTTAACTTTAATTTTTTTTTTTATTTTAAAGCAAGCATGCCACAGCATATGTGTGGAGGTCAGAGGTCAACTTGTGGGAGTTGGTTCTGTTCTTCCATCATGTGGGCCCAGGGGATTGGATTCAGTTCCCTGGACTTCACTGCATGTGCTTTACTCACAGAGCCATCTTGGCCCCCAAAGTGCTTACTCTTCGACTTATCTCTTCATCCTTTCTCCTGAGTAACTGTCCCTAATGTCCTTTGTCACTTGTGCCAATAGTAACAACAGCTAACAATTACAAGGTACAAGTCACTGCGCTCAACTCTATAATTTAATCTCACAAGGCTCTCGTGGAAGAGACCGGCATTATTTCCACTATTATATACAGAAAAAAAAAAAGGCAAAAACAGAAGCTTTGGGACTTAAGCAACCTGCACAAAGTCACCAAGCTAGTGACACAAGGTAGCCTCAGAGGCCCTGCTGACAGCCTTGGATGCCATGCTGCTCCATGCACTGTCCCAGGGCACCCTCTCCCAAGGAACAGAGGGGTCTCTTGCCAGCTGGTCACTGTTGACCAGCAAACACTAGAGGACTTGCTGACAGGTTTGCAATGTCCAAAATGTTAGAATACTCCCAAACTCTGATAGCTGACACCCTGTCCTCTCGCCTGGAAAACACTCCTCTGACAGGACGTCCTCAATACTCATCAACCTAGCCCGGAGCTGCGGGGCAAGCCTGGAGCTGCGGGGCGAGCCCGGAGCTGCGGGGCAAGCCTGGAGGTGTGGGCGACCCTGGAGCTGTGGGGTGAGCCTAGAGCTGTGGGGTGAGCCTGGAGCTGTGGAGTGAGCCTGGAGCTGTGGAGTGAGCCCGGAGCTGCGGGGCAAGCCAGGAGCTGCAGGGCGAGCCTGGAGCTGCGGGGTGAGCATGGAGCTGTGGAGTGAGCCTGGAGCTGCGGGGTGATCCTGGAGCTGAGGGGTGAGCCTGGAGCTGTGGGGTGAGCATGGAGCTGAGGGGTGAGCCTGGAGCTGTGGGGCAAACCTGGAGGTGTGGGCGACCCTGGAGCTGTGGGACAAGCCTGGAACTGCCGGGCAAACCTGAAGTTGCAGGGTGAGCCTGAAACTATAGGGCGAGCTTGGACTTTCCAAGAGAGGCCTGGGGCAGAGAGAGCTTTGTACTCAGGCCTCTACAGGTGTGACACCTGACTAAATATTGTTCATTGTCACTTCTGCCTCCACAAACCAGTTCCTCCTGCTGACTTCCTCCTTCAGGACACCCCCCCACCACCTCATTCTCCAGTTCCCCTTCCACAAAAGCTCTAGGCCCGCAGCTGACTAACCTAGCCTATGGCTTTAATTTTATCTATCTCTGTGGTTTCTATATCTGCCTCCCTTCCCAGTCCATGACCTCCACCCTGGAACAGACTTCTCGATTCAGTTTTCTTGGCACCAGATAACTACTCTCCATTCCCAGGACCCTAGCTCCCCTATATTCCTGACAGAGTCCGGCTGTATAGCCCAGTTTAGCCTCGAACGTTCAATCCTCCTGCCTCAGACTCCTGGAATTATAGACGTGTGCTGCCACAGTCAGCCCTCCCCTATATATTCTTGAGGTCAAACACCTACAGCCTGGGGACTGGAGAGATGGCTCAGAGGTTAAGAGAATTGTCTGCTCTTCCAAAGGTCCTGAGTTCAATTCCCAGCAACCACATGGTGGCTCACAATCATCTGTAATGGAGTCTGGTGTCCTCTTCTGGCCTGCAGGCATACACACAGACAGAATATTGTATACATAATAAATAAATATTTTTTTAAAAAAACACCTACAGCCAAAACCTTCCCTCTCAACCAAAAAGAAAAAAGAAAAAAGAAAAAAAGGCCAGACAGTACTGATACACGCCTTTAATCCCAGCACTTGGGAGGCAGAGGCAGGCAGATCTCTATGAGCTTGTGATCAGCCTGGTCTACAGAACTAATTCCAGGACAGCCAGGGCTATACAGAGAAACCAATCTTGAAAAACCAAAAGAAAAAAAAAAGGCACCTTCCCTTTCTACCTCCCTCCCTCAGGAGATGTCTATTGTTCCAGCAAAGCTGGTGACAGACTGAACCCCAGCAAATGCCACACCTGCCAGAGGGCACTTCATTTTCAGTCTACGGGCACTGGTGTTTCGCCTGCATGCTTATCTGTGTGAGCCGTCAGATGCCCTGGAATTGGAGTTACAGGCAGCTCTGAGATGCCATGTGGGTCCTGGGAATTGAACCCAGGCCCCAGTGCTCCTAACTGCTGAGCCATCTCTCCAAGAGAGCACTTTATATAGTGCAAATATTTATTAAACCCAGGGAGTCAGTGCCTGCTTATGTTTTCAAACTTTTCTGCCTCATCCAGTCACAAGTGTCTCATCCATGAAACACAGTCACTGTTCCAACCTCAACTCGGTCAAGTCTTTGTCCCTGTTCCCTAAAAAGCATGACTCCTTGGCAAGTGCCTTTCTTCTAACAGCTCCCTCTGTGCCTTTTCTCCCAGGTCCTGATGCCCTACGAGTCCCATGTGCCTCAACTGAGGTATACACAATGCAAGCATGCAAGTCCCATCTGCCTCAACTGAGGTATACACAATGCAAGCATGCAAGCTGATGCTGAGGATTTCACTGACGGTCAGATCTTGTCTACCTGCCAAGAACTCCTGACCTGCTGCAGGAGAAAGAAAGACTCTCACGAACACGGTGGCCTGACATGTCCCACACGCACTGGAGAGACTGGCTCACTCTCAATGCCACCCCCCTGGAGACACGTGGGGGAGCAGTTAGTTCATGCAGAGCTCTGGGCCACTATTCATCAGCTCTAGGGCCTTGAGAATGTTGCTTAAACGCCGTCACTCAGTTTCCTCATCAGCAAAATACCACGGTGAGTCAGTTCCCTCCAAGGGTAACTGGGAGGTTTAGCATTTAAAGAATCTAATAATCCGCACAGGAAACAATACAGTCATTTTCATTATTACAACTGCAGGAACTAGAGATGGACAACACCTTGGCAAAGTGTTACTGGAACCGCAGGTAGCTTTTGAAAGCAGACCAGAAACCCCACCCCCACGCATACATCACCACCACCACCACCACCACCACCACCACCACCACCACCACCATCACTACCCCTAGACCTTCACCCAGGTCTCAACTCAGACTCCACTCTGCCCCTCTTCCTATCCATTCCTGTCAGGATGCCCATGGGACTGCTGGAGGCTGCCAAGGGCTTCTAAGGATGACGGCACAGCCTCCCGGGTGCTGGGATGGTAGGTGTGAGCCAACAGCGTCCAGCTCTGGGTTTTTAGATGACTTAGAAGAAAAGGAAAGAAACCATGGCTCTTACTGCTGGGTTCTGGGACTGGTGGAGAAGGGTCCTGGGTCCTTAACTGAACGCAAGCTAAGATATCCAGAGTCGAAGGGCAACCGCAATCTCTTCCTGAACACTTTGACTAAAGCCTGCTCCAGGGCCAGATGTGCTGCAGGCATCCCCGGGACTGTGCGAACACACCATCCGCATAAGCCTCTGTACCTCAACTGTTGGTCAAAAAATAATCACTCTACTGTGAATGTATATAGGTCTGTCCTTTTTCCCACAGTATAAAAAGTCTGGAGATTCACCAGGCTTCCTATGAGGACCAAGTAGAAGGTTGCTAACCCTTGTAACGCTAACCCAGCCCTTTGCCTTCCCGTCAGGGCCCCAAAAGGACCTCACAACCTCAAGCAAAAGGAACACGATGGGCTCTAACTGTCGTCGCTGGGGCCACAGCAGAAGAATGGTGTGGTAGGCAACTCTTAGCTTAAAGGAGGAACAGTCAGGGTCCTAGAAAAAGGTCTAGGTCAGCTTCTTACCCTGCCTTAAAACTACAACGGTGCTTCCTCCAAGGGGAAAATTGACCCTTGGAGGGTAGGTAGTTACAGGGTAACGGTATGAGAAAAGGATGTCTAAATGAAGCGGGAAGAAGACCTGGTACCTAGGAACTACCAGCTCTCACACGCGCGATGGCTTTCCGGGGGTGCTCTGGGGCCTGGGAGAGAAATCAGAAAACGGGACTGCCAGGCAGGGCAAAGCTCCAGCCGAGAACCCCAGCGTGATTGCTCACACGCCCATGTCCCGGTTCTCCCAGGTCTGCAGGACTCAGCACCGCGGGGGCCTGCCGGCTCCCTCCTTTCGGGCTTCAGTTTTCAAGCGTGAGAACCAGGGGTGACGTCAGGTCCCAGGTGTTCTGGGGAGGGCGCGCTCCGGACTCAGCGCGGCCCGGGGAACAGATTCGCCGGGTAGAGGCGCACACCCTGAGCTCGCTCCCGCGTGCGCTCACTCACCCAGAAGTTTGCCTTGAACAGCGAGCCCGTCATGCCGGCGCCGAGGGCTGGACGCGGAGGACAGCGGGTGGCGGCGGAGGACAGCGGGTGGCGGCGGAGGACAGCGGGTGGCGGCGGAGGACTGCGGGCCGAATCACGCCGGGAACTGCGACCGTCAGGGCCAAGGTCCGGGCGCGACTTCGGAGTTCCACTGTCGCTCCGGGAAGCCGCCCCGGGTCCTAAGCCACGCCCGATTGCGCTCACCCCGCGCCCCGCCCGCGCCACGCACCTGCAGAGGGCAGCCCGCCCTGGCCCTAGGGCGCGGCTGCTCAGGCAGCTCCGCCGGGGGCTGCCAGTCTGAACCCCGTCCTGTAGGACCCCTGAACGACTGTCAGAACCGGTCCTTCTCCCTCCGGAAGCCCACCCCGGGCTCTTCCCACCAGGTTCTCTCGGTCTCCTATTTGCTTATGGTACCGATGCTACAACGAATGTAGAACACGCACCGCCCTAGTGACTTCAGGTTTTAGTCTAAAATGCCAAGAAAAATGCATTACCGATGTTTCCCGTCAACTCTACATCCTAACCTGAACTCAGTTAAGAACCCTTCTCCACCACCAGTCTTACCCATCGGTAAGAGCTGGGCTGCTTCCCTCGCCCACCCGACAGACTCCAAGGAAAAAGGAGGCTCACACCTGTAAATCCAGTACTGAGGAAACAGACTGGAAAGTGTGCGTTTCAAATCCAGCCTGGGCTACAGTGTTAAGGAGACCTTGCCTCGTAAACAAGCCAACCAAATAGGACCCCAGGGCAAGTCAGACCCTTCCTTGTGAGGTAGTAGACAAAGTGCTTCCTCTGTTCGTGTGCCTAGCACCAAGACTGAAACTCGGAGAGGCTGAAAGAGTTGCCCAAATTCACACTTCTTTAGGGGATGAAGAGACCAAAATTAGAAGTCTGCCCTTCATAGCAAGGGCAAAAGACTTGGCGCAATGTCCTCTTGGGGAGAGAGAATGGAGGTTAAAGCTACCAAGACTAAGGACATGAAGCCCCATTATCCATCAGACCAAAACAAGCATTTGCCACTTCAACAGGTTCTAGTTAGATTCAGGCACAGTACAGGGTAATTGTGGAGCACTTAGAGGAAGCTCACAGACTCTATCCCCAAGTTCCACCAGTAAGGTCCTCTGCAATGACAGGGATGAGAGGGAGCGAGCCTCCAGCCCTGGTATTCCCCAGGGACATGCATCCGTTTCTTTACCTGACTTCATGAGCATTCACAACAATGAGGTTAGGGGCACTTGCTAAGAAGTTCTTTTCCAGAGAACTTAATTCATTTCCCAGCATCCATTTGGTGGCTAACGACAATCCCTAACTCCAGATCCAGGAAATCTAACACCCAGTAACTTTTTGCTTGCAACGGCATGCAGGTGGTGTACAGACATGCATCCAGGCAAAAGACTCATGCACATAAAATAGTAAGCTGAGATAGAGCCAAGACAGGGAAGCCTGGCTACACCTGAGAGGAGCAGCAGAGGCCAGGTGTGCATCAGGAGGTGTGCATCCAGGTAAGCTGGACTGCAGGGGTGAGTGGACCACACATGGCACAGGGATACATCCCGGAAGCTGGAGCACTGGAGACAGTACCAAGACTTTTCCTGGAAGTTTTTGACTTTTAATTTGGCTCTCTCTCTCTCTCTCTCTCTCTCTCTCTCTCTCTCTCTCTCTCTCTCTCTCTCTTTTCTCTCTCTCTCTCCTTCCTCCCCTCCCTCTCTCCCCCCTCTCTCTCTCTCTCTCTCTCTCTCTCTCTCTCTCTCTCTCTCTCTCTCCCCCCCCCCCCTCTGGGCACTGAACCCAGGGATCTGTCCTAGCATTAGGTTTTCTTGTTGCTCACTTGCTTGTTTTTGAGACACCGTCTTACTAACCCATGACAGCCTTGAACTCACTCTGTAGCCCATGCAGGTCTTGAATTAGCAAGTCTTCTACCTCAGCTTGCAATGTGGCTGGAATTATAAGCATGTGCCACCATACCCATCGGAAAGCTTGGGACAAATATATTACATGCAATTCTCATTATCTATATTTTTATTTCTTTCCTGTTTTTTTTTTTTTTCCAAGCCAGAGTCTCACTACGTAGCTCTGGCTCTCCTAGGACTCGTTATGTCCACCAGGCTGACCTCCAACCCACAGGGACACACCTGCCTCTGCCTCACACGTGCTGGGATGAAAAGAGTGTGCTACTATGCCTGGCTTATATTTTAATTTCTAATGCATATTACTTTTAAGTCAGTTTCAAGTCTTAAGTCAGGGCCCCTTGCGACAATGGGCTCCGTTTTCCTGACACAGGCTTCTAAGATCTCTGAATTTTAACTCTCTTCCACCCCCTGATGGTATAATTGAAAATTGAAAGTGGTTGTTCAGGCTGCCAGAAAAATACTCTTCAACTGTTTTTTGTTATTGTTATTTATTGCACTTGTTTATTTGTCTATTAAATGTATGTTTGGCAAAGGTGGAGACCTATGCATGCCCATGTTACGTGTAGTTGGAATCGAACTTAACTCTTCACAGCTGACGAAAAGCACTTTACCCACTGACTAGCCCGTGGGGTGTTTTGTGGGTCTTAAAGTATACTTTTTATGTATACATGCAAAGGATACTCATGGACAGTCATGCGGAGGATACTTCTGTTTCTACACCAGCAGAGGCCAGAACCCCTGGAGCTGGAGTTACAGGCAGTTGTGAGACACACCGCATGGGTGCTGGGAACTGAACGTGGATCCTCTGGAAGAGTAAGCGATACTCACTCTTAACCACGAAGCCTCTCCAGCCCCTCCTCAAATGTCCTTAACTCATCACCCTGGCAAGTGTTGTGTTTAAAGGACAAGTGTGTGCTGTATCTATGGATCTATGAGAAACTTAGTATATTCTTGCTAGCAATGTTAATACTACCACAGAGAGTATTAAATAATGAAACACTGACTAGACCATTCATTATAACTACTGTGAGTATTTTGGCATAGTCTCTTTCAATGATATACATTTCGTGGCTAAGTTCTGTACACAAAATGTTGAGTTTTTCTTCTTAACCTATCACCATTTCATAGACTTCTAAAGTTATGGGTACATTTTTTTCCTAACATAAAGTTTGATGCCATACAGCACTGGCTGCTGTGTGAGCAAATAGACCTCTTGCATGTAAAAATGGAAAATCTGCTTAAAGAGACAGCTGGCTGTATCCCTCAAATATATCATGTGCCTGTCTGTTCAAATGACAACGTACTCTAAATATATTCTCACACACAGTAGAGTAATTATTTGAGCAAAATATAAAAATAAGCAAATATCTATCTCTGGGATATATATATATATATATATTCACAATCCTGTGCAAGCAGGAAAATATGAAGAGTCATCAGATATACTTTTTTTTTCTGAAACAGAACTTCTCTGTGTGGCCCTGGCTGTCCTGGAACTCACAGAGATCCACCTGCCTTCCAAGTGCTGGGATTAAAGGCCTGCGCCACCACATCCGGCTCAGATAGACTTCTGAATGGAGTAAAAAGAAGATGCCAAAGAAGATACTGCTTCAAAAGGGAGATCAAAGAATAAAGCTACATTTTAAGTGGTCCTCTCTGAGGCGAGAGACTAGGGGGCAAGTGGCCCAAAAGGAAGACAGACCTGCTCGTCACTGTGGGCCATTTTCAAAAAGCTTGGTATTTCTACCCTGTGAGTTTGCTGCCAGCCAAAATTTTCAAAACTCTTCAGTCGCATTTGAATTCTTGTATGATTTTCAGTCTTGAGAATACCCAGCATCTCTCTATTTGGGAGCTATTACTGTGATGAACATCTTTTTTATAAGGCTTTTCTAGAATTATTAATAAAAGATTTGCAGGTCAAAGAAAAAAAATGTTGTTAAGGTTCTCGAAATATTGAGTTCACTTGTTTTCCAGAAAAGTCTTTGAAGGCTGTACAGCCAGTGATGTACCAGAAGCCTCTGTCCCAGCCCTTTCACAAACACTGGATGGTATCATGCATCAGCTTTGAGAATCTTAGAATTATTCCATCTGTGTGGTTTTAATCATGTGAGCTCTAATCATGACTTTCTAAGCGACTGATCAAGTTTTACATATCTGTTTCGCCCTCTCTTGGATGTTGTCGATACCCTCTACTCTTGGTTTAAAAAAGGAACAAAAAAAGCCTATTTTTCTAATGAATTTGCCATCTGCTCTCCGCACATCTTGCCCTCATTTCATGGCCTAGCACTACCTAGCACATTACAAATACTCAATATTTATTGATTCAATTGAATTGAGTTTCATTAGACTTGTCACATTTATGAAGCCTCATTTTTCTGTGTCCTCTGAAAACTTTTTCTGGGCTAAAGTCCTTCCTCTTGTCGAATTATCTAGGAAATACAAACACAGCTTGGAAAAACCTCTGAGCAGTCTATCTTCTCGTTCCAAACATTAGATGACTTCAAATCCACATCCACCTTCCCACCTCTACCAGTTTGCCTATTGCTGTGAAACAGGTGACTTCCATTTTTAAAAAGCAAGGAGGCATGATGGCACACGTCTGTAATGATTGCTAAAAGTTCAAGGTCAGCCTGGGCTACATAATGGGTTTAAGTCCAGCCTGGCCTACACCATTGTAGAATATATGTTTAACTATGGAAAAGTGAGTTTCACTTGTTTAACTATATAAAGATGTGTTGCTGTTTTCCCTTGCCCGCCTCAGGCACCTGATTGGTCTAGTAAAAAGCTGAACGGTCAATAGCAAGGGAAGAGGTACAGGCGGTGAGAGTAAGGAAGAGCAGGAATTTAGGCTCAAGGAAGAGAGAAAAAGAGATGACAGGGAGATGGTAGAGGCCAGACAGACACACACACAGGAAGTAAAAAAGTAGGACATACAGAATGAAGGAAAGGTAAAAAAAAAAAAAAAACAAAACCCTGAGGTCAAATATAGATGAATAGAAACAGGTTAAATTAAGTTTAAAGGAGCTAGTGAGACAAGCCTATGCTAAGGTCAAGCATTCATATTAATAAAAGTCTCTGTGTCTTTATTTGGGAGCTGGTTGGCAGCCCCTCCCAAAAAAATGCCAACTATACTCCACAGCAATATTTGACCTCACCAAAAAAAAAAAAAGCTAAAAAATAAAAACTCAGTAACTTAAAACAATAAACATTTTGCACTGTTTCTCTGGGTAGGAATTTAAGAACTGTGTGGTTTGGACTCTGTCTCGACAGACT